AGACCTATTAGTGCGACTTATATCTATCCTTCGAACAGTCAACCCAATTTCACATCTTGCATTTAATGTTGTTCCAGGAGAAAACTGCACCCCGGCGGGAACGATCGCCCGACAAAATCTTTAACAAAATATCAACAACAACAAAAAACACGGAGACGATAAAATTGTATCCGATTATTACCTCCTTTTATGACCAAATCGTAAAGTCGGCAATCGCTGCAATAATGTTTATGGTTATTTTTATTGTCATCTTGTAAAGCAGATGTGTTTTTTTTGTGTGCGGCAGACGGAATGGAAGCCATCCCCGAATGACGATGGTCGTAATTGCGGAAGGATATTTTGTATTAAAAAAAATATGTCTGTGCGTATAACTGCGTACTATATATGCGTTAATAATAGTGAGGAATAGGAACAGGATGCATCTGTTCTTTACACACGGTTCGGCTCTGGTTAGTAACACCCCTCCCAGACCAGCAGGAACCGATATTAATCTGCTGCCCAGGAGAACGGACAGGTGTCAAGAATTTTCCGTGGTGCCCTGGATAAACAGACCGAAGGGCTTAAAATCATTGTCCGCGCTATTATTACTATTTTTATAATCTTCTGACAGGAAGCGCGTGAATGGCATTTCGGTATTTTGGAAACTGGGATGTCGGGGAATGTAAGCAGTCGCCTCTCCATAATCCGGGAACGTCAGAAATGCACGGCAGACGAGGTGCACACGTTTGGATAACCGTCATCTTCTGCTTGTGGTCAACGATAATGACCTTGCCGCCCGCTTTTGCATCCCGTCCACGATGGCTCAAGTTGGGATCCCTGATATTAATCTTCGTGACTATGGCAGTGGCCACGTGGGGCAATTCACCTGAAAAAAATGTACCTGTACATACCGTTTCTGCTCGTCGAAATCATCAACGTCGTCAATAAGGTTGTCACGATCTTCGATATCTGCGGAGATTCCGACCCCTTGGGATATAGTAAAGCTGTTACTCTTGTGATCTTGATCCTTTGGCTGCTCCTGGTGCCGCTATTCTACATGGACACCTTCCTCAAGAAAAGGAGCATGACAAAGAGCATCAAGAGATTGAAACGAAGCAGATTCACATCCTCACTCTCCAATATGTCGTTAAATGACATGCGTCTTACAAAAACGTAACAAGATCACTTTGTTTTGCGAAAACATTGTTTAGACCTACAACTAATTGCTTTTTGTAAAGAATTTATTTTGGTTTTTTAATAACTTTTGTAATAAACTCTAAAAATGCAGAAAGTAAACAATTATATCTTTTTGTATAAGAAAACTTATAAGGGCGGCATATACTTTAGTATTGGTACTGTTTGTATATTCCAATTGAAGTTAAAACTTTGGAATTAATTTTAACAAAGTGTCTGGTGTAAATCACGTTATATAATATTATCAAATTTGGTATATTTATTACACTTTACAGGTAAAAAATAAAAATTATTTTCAATAGTACATATTTTTGCTGTAGAAAATTGTACAACAGAACACATACATTACTAAAGATTCTTATAGATTTATAAGCAGCATTACTAGTGTTAACTGGATTATACAATAAAAATAGATGTTAAAATGACGTTATTATGTGATGAAATTAAAACGTCTTAAAGCATATTGATATTGATGTTCGGTAATTCGATCTTCGCCTCCGATACTAAAGTGTCGTAACCTAACACAAACCGCCAGAATATACAAAGAGTACAGTTAACGAACCGGCGTCTGTGACATGTGCAAGGAAATAGAATGTTCGTGTTTCGACATGTCGATATTCGGAAATAAATACGTTTAGACCTATACTAGATTAGTACTTTATTTTAATAAGTCTTATGTTATCTGGAAGTAAATAAATATCAGAAAGTAGAAAATAAATTTATTACCTGTATAATATTTGTTTGAAAAGATAAACGTAAAAATGACGTTTCATTTTTTTTTAGTTAGTACATAAATATATTAATGATAAAATAACAGTTGGAAAATATTTTTTAAAATTCATTTGATAAATAAAGTATTACTAAAAAAAAGTGCGTAAGTAATGTTGTAAACCACAAAGCAGTTGGTATTACAATAAGGGTTTAAGTTTTCATGTTTACAGATTAAGGAAGCGGTTCTCTTTAGAATTCCACGCTTTGTTTACACTCCCTTATTTGATCTTCCGCCCTTTTTAGGTAAAAAAATATACTGGAGAATTCATTTGCACAAAATTACCAAAGCACCGGACGTCTTCTTTCGAATAAGTATCTACCCGATTTGTTTGTATTGCGGAGTTGTAAAATGCAATCATTAAAATATTTATTATTTCTTTGTGTGTAATCAATACACACATACATTCTCTTATATTTATAATGAATAGAATTCGTGAATTCATGAATGGAACTTTTATTCATAATTTATGTGTGCTTGAACAATCGCAGGTGCTATTGTAATTGGTTAATTATGTGAATTGCTCATTAGTAAATTGGGTGGCGGCTCGCTCGGAACAATGACTTTTCGTGGATAATGGAGAACGGCGGGTGGCGACCGCAAAGAAAAGAAGAAGAAAGACGTTCTTGCAATTAACATACAATTAACTAGTGGTCGGGGTGGGCGCATCGTCAACATCATGCATAGGCACCTCTCGCCCGGCGTTTACTTTACTCCCGCTCATTAATTATTCATATTATCGTCGACATAGAAGACAACCGAAGGAGTTTCTTGTCAGCGCCGACGGGACGGAAGTGACAATTGTGTTTTTCCATTTCTATTTCTCTTCCTTATTCTTGTCTTTTGGGTCGATTTCGGGGCGGTCGTAAAGTTACCACCCCGGAGGTCAAAACCGGAAACGCGTATTTACTACAAAGGCGGCCGTGAATGGCCATTTGTCCGTTCCCGTAATTGTATTCAATGCGATATTTGTCTGTCATTCTATCACTTCCGAAACGTATTAGGAACGCAACGTTTTTATGCCTTCGAGGAGGAAGACGCAGACGGAAGCGACGTTTTGTGGAGAGGCGGAGACAGGAGGTAGAGGAGGAAACAGACTCCGCAGGGAACTCGCTTCGACCGGCCTCCAACAAAGTCCCCTATTCATCTATTCGGCAATCCAAACACAACACCAAACACACACAGTTTCCCTTTTGTGACCATTAAAAAATATCAAACCTTTTCAGAAGCCCACGTCTCCTGTCATTGCAAAATTTCACAGATATATCCGAAGTGCTCAATGCAAATCAAGAAGCTTTTTTGTGACGGATAATGCGAAGCTAATAGTATTTACATTAACATCTAGAACTAATCCAGTCCAAATTATACCATACAAATTCATTAAAAAATAAATGGATTATTTTATTTAACTTAAGTTTAAATAAAAAACAATTTAATAATACATTTTTTGGCGGAAAGAACGATGTCGATAGCTCTTTAGTTACATTTGCCTTAAGTTTAAACAATTGTTCTTTTCTTTTCAATTTATATTAATGTTTTTTGGATGAATTTACGTTTACGTGTAATCGCATAATAATGATTATATTGAAAAGTATGATTGAAGTGTAATTGAAAATATAATAAAATATTGAACTATTTCTATAATGATCTTTCTACCCAATTTAACTTTAAATCATTAAGTATAAATTTATGAAAAAATCTAATTTACTATAGCAATTACTGAAAATTATTATTACATTCCGGGCAGAAAGACCTATGGTCAGTAACCATTTGTAGCAGATCAATTTGATATTTTTATTTTATTGTTATATTTTTTGTTTTTTTTTTTGAATATGTATTATGATTTGTTTCATAAAATAATCTTATTACAAAAATTTTATCAAACACGCAAACCATTTTTTTACAGAGAAATAAACAATCGATATTTTTGTAGTTTTAGTTTTACTTTTTTATTTATAGTTACAAGGTACAACAACAGCCGTTAAATTTTCATCATCTTTCGCGTTCTTAGTGACCGTAGTATCAGATTGAAAAACATTAAGTAACGATTAATATTATAAATTATATCATTTCATGTCTTATTGAATTATTACCAAAGACAAGCATCTGTTCTGAATAGTACATATTTCAATAATTTATTTTATATTATATTTATTTATTATTCGACCTGGTCAAATCCCTTGCATTTGTTTATGAAAAAAATATTTTTTTTCTAATAAATTTATTATTTACAAACTACCATATGCTGGCAACGAGTAAATAGTTTTGAAACTATAATAAAATATGACACTGAGCGGTAATACTGAGCGGTAACACTGAGTTTATAATAATAATTTATTGGCCAAACATCAATACATAAGAAGAAAAAATGTACATTCTATACATATAAATAAATAAATTCTAACATAAAATAAAAAATATATATATTAATAGGCTGGCCAAAGGCGGAATGGAAGGTTTCCTAATATAATATAAATAAATATTAATTTTAACAATAAAAAAAAAAAAAAAAACGTTGTTATAATTTTAAAATCTATATGGGATATCAAGTGTTATACTATTATCTAATAAATTAAAATTAATTAATTGCTTGAGTATTGGCATGCTTTTTGATATTGCTCACTAAACTTAGAGATTTTAATTTTCACGGTATTAATAACATGCAAAATAAATAAATTCGCAGGGGAATAAGTTGATAGCCCTTTCGCCAGATTGTTAATTAATACTATTTATTATTAATAACAATAAAATAATTGTAATTTAGAAAATTTCTTAATTTATTATGAATAATAATATATTGTTATTAATAATAAATAACAACAATTAATAATCTAATTGTATATTTATTATGAATAAGACTATATCAAATAGTAAAAGATACAATCGGGATTTTAATACGGTCGGAATTTTTTAACAAAATTTTGGTCAGGATTTCGAATGTCAGGAATTTGATAGTCGGGATTTCAATATATAGCCAATATATTGTATTGTACGTATTTAGGCCACCCAATCAACTTTGATGATATATGCAACTTCAATTACTTGTTTACATGTTAATTCCATAAATGAACTACGATTTGTGATTTGCTTGTATAGTGGTCTATTTAAAAATAGTATAACATTATTGCTTAAACTATGTATCAACCATTGTATTCGATAGAATTCAACGCAGATTCAAAGGAGTTCAATCCATACCAATTAAAATATGTAGAAGATATAGATGAAGACTTCATTCCTTCAGGATGGAACAAATTAGTAGAAGCACCAAAGACCTGCACAGCATATGATTTGTTAACATCAGATAATGAAAAGAAAATCTCTACCACAATAGAAGGGCTGGATTTTGCTTTAGATGGAGGATTTTCTGTTGGACAGATAAATGAGTTTACGGGGAAGCCTGGCTCTGGAAAAACTCAACTTTGGTAAGACAAGCCAATTGTCTTTGGCTGGAAACTAATTCTGAGCAGTTTCAGAATTTGTGTGAAATTTTTACTATCAAATAATGAGACAAATGTACTGTTCCTGTCCACAAACCATAATTTTGCATCTCAAAGGATTGAAGGTGAAATTAACACATTTTAATTTTGTGCATTTATAAACTTATTAATTATAGATTTAATAAAATCAAGCAATGAATTCCAAAATGCTAGAGATGAATTAAAAAATATGCTATTGGTTAAATTAATGAAGAGAATCAAAATCTTTGAAGTACAAGATATCACAGATTTGCTGGCTTCTGTTAAATATTTGGAATATAATCAGGACTATGCTCAACATTTAGGAATTGTCTTTATTGATAGTATATTCATACCATTTAAAGAGTTGGAGCAAAATGAAAGGACTTCATATATTTTTCGATTTTACTCAAATTTGCAAAGGTTATCAACTGTCACCAAGTTAACTGTAAGTTAGAAAAAATAGTATAGTATAAATTATTAATTTGTATGTGTAAAATTGTAGGTGATTGTAACAAACAGTATAACAACCGTATTCAATGTGCCTGGCGAATTCACCTATTTTGGTTCTAGTTATCTGCACAGACTGAACATTCGTATAAAACTGGAAAGACTAGGCCAAACAATGTTTAAAGCAAAAATTGACAAATGTCCATATTTATGTAAAAGCCAATCGTTTAATTTCTCTATTGTTTAGTAAATAAAAAGGAAATGTTCTTATGTTAAGAATTCACCAAAATAAATTCAAAATCTATAATTTTGTTACAAATATAAACGCTATAAATAACTTTTAATGTAACCTGCAAAATGTTTGTTTCTTTACACTAAATACTTCTTGGATTGGTTTGGGTGGAAAGTATAAAAAGTAAGTTCTTTTTACAGTAGTATAAAACAGAAGATTTATTCTATATCTAGTATTCTTGTCTCCTGTTGTCTCTACGTTGCCTGTTCCACTCTTGATTACCACCCCTGTAATTTTGACGATCTCCGCCGCGGAAGTTGCCCTAAAACAAAATTAAATTCAATTTCCTGAAGAATCTCAAGTTCAACTAACAAACCCTTACTTGATTTTGGCCCCTCATGAAGAAGTTTCCTTGCTTCGTTTCCAAAATGCGCTCGTTCGAATCCACGAAGTTGTTGATCTTGTCAGCCAACTGCATGGCCAGACTCTGTAGTCTAGATGGTTCGCTCCTATGCATAACGACGGTTTGCGTTGGATCGTCCAGCGATGCCATCAGTTCTTCGTTAATAATCATTTTCGAGATGATTGAATGCACATTGGACTTCTCCATCTCAAACATTTCAGCTAAAGTTGCCATGGAAATTGAATCGTACACGTGGGAATAGGTGAAGAGGTAGGTCCTCAGAGCTTCTTCCTTGATCAGCTTGGTGAGCATGGCCCTGACGGCATCGGCTTGGTAGAATAAGTCCCAGACTTTAGCGTTCATTTTGTCGTTTATGATGAACGTATTGCATGAAGCCCAGTGGCCGTTGCGCATCGCCTTGGCAGCAGCAACAACGTGTTCGCGCATACTTTCAGGAGGACCTACAAGACTTTGACGTTCGGAGCTACGCAATTGCTGATAGAAAGTCTTGGAAATCATACGACGGCGAGCATCGAATTCATGGGCAGCCATATATGGAATTTCGATGAGCATAGCGGAAACCAAGTATACACACTCCAACAATTCCAGGTTGATGTGCATATGGAATGGCATCTGACGTTGTTTCTCGATTTTCTCTTGTTCTTTGCTGCGCTCATGTTGCCTTTGCGGTAACAAACCTTGAGCCAACAACTCTTTCGGTTTTCCAGTCATCATCAAATCCACTAAACAGCTATGAGCATCTTTAATGTTTGCATGCCTGAAGGCACACAAACCTAAATGAGCCATGGTACGGTTGTAGAGAATTTGAGTACTGGGATCGGAGTGTTGGATGTTTTCTTGCAAATGCGACATGAGCACCAGGTCTCTGGCTTGGAACCAGTTATCGTGCAAAGCATGGTGGTAAATGTGCGACAAGATAGCCCTAGTACGCAATCTGTCTGTGCCGTCTTTAGCGTAGATGTATTTGCATAGCTTCTCCATCTCTTGCACAGAGGTAATAACATCCTTGGTAACCTCTCCAGCCTTCTGTTGCAATACTTTTGGATCAAATTTGTAGTAAAGATGTTCGATCTTTCTTAAATATATTCTGCAAATTTCAGAGTAATTGGAGTGGCGTTCGAGGTAAATCTGGACTTTATCGATGATAGCGGCAACCTTGCATTCGTCCTTCAATCTTTCAACGTACTCATTGCTATGAGGATCGCATTCCTTAAGTAATTTGGTGAATTCATCATCCAGACGTTCGACGGAAGTCAAAACGCATCCGCGAACTTGGTATGGTGCGCTCTCAAAATTCTCAGTTTCTTCGGTAATAGTTTCAGAAATAACGACGTTGTCGTTCTTCGACAAAGTTTCCAATAATTCGTACATCCTCTCCAACAATTTAGTCCAATATTCGGGTTTCATAGCATCCGAAACTTTAGGATTATAATCGAAAATTGCGGAAATAATAGCGAATTTAATCTTGATTACAATAGCCGGACCAAGTTGATGCTGCTCAGAGACATTTTGCAATTCATGCAAAAGTTCGATTTGTTCTCTACGATCGGTACGTTTCTTACCTCTGGCCGCAATGATTTCAGACAGTTTGTTGATGACTAAAGGCAAATCAATCTGTGCGTCTTTGGCGAACATTTTAGGTTTTTCACTGGGGATAGCAACACCTCCCTTAACAGTTTCCCATTCGCCTTCTCCATCTTCTTCATCCTCTCTCCGCATCTTTTTACGCTCCTTTTCCTTACGCTCATTACGACGATCCTCCTTGCGTTTTTCCTTTTCTTCGTCATCCTCTTGAGTCGGACCGGTCTTTTTCAAGAAACGATCGCGCATATTCGTAATCTTATCATCATCGGTGGAACTGCCAGAGTCAGATTCGGAATCCGAAGGCCAACTGTCTGAATCAGAATCATCATCGAAATCTTTGGTTGGTTCCACAGCGACTTTAGCAGCAGCCGACACTTTAACTGGTGCTTCAGCATCAGAATCAACATCCTCGTCACGTTTCTCTTCTTCACCTTCATCATCAGGCTGATCAGGATTCTCGCGGAATTTCTTAATACTTTCATCGAAGTCTTTTAAATATTTCCTCAGCTTCTGACGAATAGAACTCAAAGATTTGTAATTATTCTTGCTCATGTTTTTACGACCATCCCGATCCTCCCAAACTTCGTTAATGAAATCTTCCATCTCAGCCAAACAGCGGATATAGAATCTGGGTGTCTGTCCATTTTCTTCCTTTGCAATTACAGGTGCAGCTTTCAAGTATGCTCTTTGCAGGTCTTCAAAACTTGAAAGCATACTGCTCATATCCTTAATCTTCTTGAAGTTCCTAATCTGCTTAATGATATTAGTCAAATCCTCATATCTCTTCTCCTTTGTGGAGCGTACAACACGCTTGACCTCATCTTCATCATCACTGAACTACAAAAAAATTAATAATAAATCGTGATTTTTAAATAAAAATGATATTTACAGCATAGGCCAAAGCTGGCGCACGTTGAATTTGCTCCTCCTCAGACGAGCTGTCTGAATCAGAATCAGATCCGGCAAAGAAACGAGACATCTTTTTAACTGTGGACAGCTAAAATAAAATAAAAAAATTTATAGACTCTGGTTATAACTATAGAAATTACAGTCAAATATAATAATCACATACTTAAATATATATTCACAATACTTATACTATTGTACCAAAGCCTATTTTTGATATACACAACAAATGTCAGTGAGTATAACATATATGTTTTTAGGTTATGATTCGCACATTAAAAGCTGCTTAATTTATTACATAGTTAATTAAGCAGTATATAGTATGGTTGCAATTGGAAGTTATATATTCACCTACAAAGAACTTATATTTTTGTTTAAATAATGTACATACCGATTATATTCTTGAAAAAATATGAGCAGATTGATAAAATAACCTCCTGCACAATGGCGGAGAATTGAAAGAAATATGCAGGGTAGCCCATTCGTCATATTTGGTTGGTACACCTGAATGAATTAGAATAAATGCAACAGCGTAATAATAATACAGATTTTTATCTTCAATAAGTTGTAAATGGTATTATTCAATAAGATGAACACGTAAATATAATAATAAATTTAACTTCTGATAAAATAAAAGTAACTACAATATACTAGGCAACCAAATGATCCCATTAATTTAAGAAATGATATATAACTGGAACTAGCTTGTTTGCACTTTACTTATACTTAAAAATGATCACGATCTACATAATTAATGAATTTATTTTTTTTGTCTCGTTTCACTAGAGATCCATTCAATATAATCGGTATTTTATCTGTTAGAGATCGACGCTATATAATCTTGATTAAAAATATATTTTATAAAAAATCTTTGTTTGTTATAGTAATGTGGGAAGTAACATAACATTTAAATTATATAATTTTATTTAAAAAAAAAATGAAAGTAAGACAATATTTATTTTGTTATAATGCAAACTGTTAGTTTAATTTTTCTCTTTCTTACAATGTTAATATTTCAGAAGCCTTCTCTTCCAGCAAGTTCTCCATGGTAGATACATGTTTGCACCATTCATTAAGTCTTTCAACCATATTTGAGATTTGCGAGCGGTCTAGTACACGGGGCTGCACCCACGTCATATTGACGTTACTTGAGACCTGGTCGATGGCACCCTTAACCAAGCCCTGTGCAAGCGCTTTCATGATGAGCAGTTCAATTTCACATAACGGCAGCTGCGTTTCCTTGGAGATTTCGTCAAAGGTTAATTGACGATCGTGCGAAGGTCTCTTGAACGTCATCTCCATCAGACAAAGCAAGGAGATCTTCTGCCTAAGGAAGGTTTCCTTTGCAGACAGATCGGCAATCGCTCCCCAATGCTTCTTCATGGCATCGAATTTCACAATGTCGCCGGAATTGAAAGCGTACAGCAATTGTACTAACCAAGCATTGTCGGTAGTGTTCAATGATTCCAAGACCGGATGAGCTAAGAGCTCTCCCAAATTGTAAACACCTTCACCAAGAAGCGCAGCCAAGCCCAAGAAGAATGCATGTTGGTGTTTCGTTTCGTCTGATAATGTATCTACTTCGATGCAGCCAAGATAGCGTAATGCCGTTCTGTAGTACTGTGCATGATCACCCTTTATTCTGTAAACAGAATTAATAAAATAGAGTCAAGAACTTTTTCAATATAATTCAATTAACCTGTAGTACTGTGAAGCAAGGTGGTAAAAACGACCATGTACAGGGGTCACTCCATCAGCGTTATCTAAAGTTGCTTCAACTTCTTCAATGATTTTCTTGGTAGCATCCAAATCATTTAACTTCTCCAAATGTATTTGACCAGCCAATACCTATAAGAATCATACACAATTTCAATATCAGTTCAATTCTAATTTGCACATTTGAAATAGCTCACCTTGCACAAATTTTCTGCATCTGAGTTGGCCTTAACCTTTGGCCCAATTTTTGTTAAAAATTCAACAGCTTCTGTTTTGTTTTTGTACTGTTCAATAACTATAGCAACTATTTCCATGAGCGAAAGAGGATTTATTCTAAAACAGTAATTAGGTTATCAATGATATTTTCTTCTATCATAGCCATACATTTTTCTTTCTTTGATAAATCAAATCTTGAGTATTGTATTTAAATGCCATTTAATTTAAATCAAACTAGTGTAACCATACATGACTTTACTTTTCTTGTTATAACTATGTAGAATATTTCAGAGATACTTTTAAAACACCCCTTATATGGAGTTGTTTTATAAATGCATTCTAATTTGAAAACTATTTATATATCACAAATTATATTGGGCTTCTGGTATACAGCTCAGAAATATATATTTGATATGTGCCATAGTAAGACATTGGATCTCTATTTGTAAATAATGACCTGGCAAATTTTCAATCATGGAACTCACTTGCTCTCAAATGTTGTAATAAAGTTGCTGTACAGTTGAATCAGCTGATCGCCCTTCTGAAGTGTTGGATTCTTCACGAAGACGAGCAATTTGAGCGTTAATTGATGCCATAGCCTATAGAAACAATGTTAGGTTATATTTCTTCCAAAATAGAAAACTCTGAGGACTTACTTTTTGGTGTACAGTTCCTCGAGCTGAGCCCATTCCGTTGCTAATTCCTTGGAACTCTCCTTCTGCTTTTTCAACAGATAATCATTCACATTAGGCTGCTGAACAACCGCCGCTGCCATTTTTTCTAATGATTTTGGAATGACAAATAAATAATTTTCTGACTAGTAATGACACTAAATGTTGCCAACTCACTGAGACAACAACAAGAAATCAACAGTCCTTAGTTTAGTAATAAAAGCACATAAACTGATTTGGTTTCAATTGAATTGAATAATTTAGATAAGGTTTCAGTTGTAAAAAGAATTCTAGATTGTGAAAAATAATTAGTTTCTCTATAATTGGTATAATGTTGGTGGTCCTGCAATTCACGTGTTTTTTGTTCTGTTGGCAAGAGAGGCAAGTGTTCTAGTAGCTGTCATAATTGTCTTTGAGGAGGCGGTTTATATTATTTTCACCAATAAAAGTATCATTTAAAATTAGTAGTAAGTAATACATCCTAATAACCGGAGCTTCACTAAGAAACAACCTGTGATTGGATTTCTTTTGCACGTAGAGAAATCATCTTACATGGACAGTGACTTGTTAAAATAATAGAAATCAACATGGCAGCTACCAGGAGATTACAAAAGGTAAAGTAAATCCTAGGGGGCCTCCAGCTGATCCTCGGGAGTACACCAGACCCGATCGTGGGCCCCGTAAATTGTCAAATTCAAGGTGGCCGCGACATTACATTTCCTTTCTGTCTGTCAAAAGGAAAGTCTAATTCTGTAACAGCAGTCTGATGGACTTGCATAGATCTAGGCTTCTTTTTTTTACATACATATATCTATTTTTAAACATTACTTGAGGGTCAATGCTATCAATGGAGATTCATTGATGGGGAGGGTATAATCTCATTATATGTTTGTATTTATGCATTGCAGGAACTTGGTGATATAAAGAATTCAGGTTTGAAATCCTTCAGGGACATTCATGTAGATGAAAGCAACATCCTCACCTGGCAGGGATTGATTGTGCCAGTAAGTACACATTATATGAGCTGCGGCTGAGTTTGGAAGAATATGTGGAATACTAATCGTTTGGTTTAGGATAATGCGCCATACAATAAAGGAGCATTTAAAATTGAAATAAACTTCCCAGCCGAGTATCCGTTCAAACCTCCAAAAATCAGTTTTAAGACGAAAATATACCATCCTAACATCGACGAGAAGGGACAAGTGTGTTTACCTATCATAAGCGCCGAGAATTGGAAGCCCGCAACCAAAACCGATCAAGTGATCCAAGCATTAGTAGCCTTAGTTAATGAGCCCGAGCCGGAGCACCCACTGCGCGCCGACTTAGCCGAGGAGTTCCTGAAAGATAGGAAGAAGTTTTCGAAAAACGCTGAGGAATATACGAAAAAGCACAGCGAAAAGAGGCCCGCCGACTAAAGCTCCGACCCTCCCAGAAACACCTTGCACCACCGCAATCAGATATGAAAAGAAGAAGAAAACACTAATATTAAAACAAAAGTAAAAAAGAAGCGTTTTTCGATAATCCTTCCACTCTATATAACCGCAAAATGAAATAATAATAGTAATTTCATAAATCTTAATGTTTATTTTTATTGTTTTTTTTAGTTTCATTTGGTTGTTATATTAAAAAAAATATGCAGGAACGCAGCTGTTACGTATATAAGTTGTTTGCGGGTTGATCTAGTTTAATTTTTAGGTATTATTTTATTCGTAAGGAAAAACAAACAGGATTCATTAAAAAACTGCAACTTTTGCGCACTTGAACAATAAAAAGTAATCTGAAGTGGAGGATCAAAAAAATATATAAAAAACTAATTGCATTTGTAATACAACAAAAAAAAATCAATCTTAGGTGAATTAATTAATAAAACTGAAAATGAAAGCGATCGTAAGTTAATATCGTATGTATACTTATACTAAATAAACTGTTTCCAAAAGTTTTTAAATAATCTTTGTAGTATATGAACTATTTTTTTACACTTAATGTTTGGCTATTTTGAGAAACGGTTGTTTATTGTGAACGTTCGAAAAGAGGAGTTTCGGTTTCGACTTTAATCTACTGCCCTAAATAAAAATATTTCATATTTATATAACATTTCGCTTATTGTATATTGGATTGTCACTTAATTTCTGTTGCCCGAATACCTTGAAATATTCTTGCATAATACCTGACGCATGCTAGGGCATAGATATTTTCGAAATCGTAGCGGGAACAGTGCTGCCAATGTTAGGAAATCTATGCGCAATGGTGGCATAACATTTTTATAATGTACGGGCGGAAGGTTAACATTTGTTAACACAATAGTGCTCCCCCCACCATCCCTCTTGAGTAAAGCAGCAGAAAAGGGGGAAAGTTGAGCGAGACAGACAAATAGGCGCGATGTTTATTATCGTTTTTAATTGATCATCAACATCTGAGATCTGAGGCTTTGTTTTGGCGGAGAGACCAGACCGATGGGACTCGAGTGTGTCAGACATAATATACGTACTTGTGTGAATCGAGGGTTTCGTGTGAGAGAGCTTAACCTACTGCTACAACTATGGATGAGAACACAGTTCTGGAGGCTTTGCAGCAGCATTTCAAGTTCGCCACATTTAAATCGCAACTGCAACAGAATGCTGTTATGGAAATTGTCAAAGGTAGAAAGAAGCTGCAAGCATGCTTTCCTCTCCAACACCACCACTACCATCAATAACATAATCATTATCATCTCCTTACACATCTGCATTTTATTTTTTCTCTGTTTACATTCCAATTCCAGGTGAGAATGATGTTTTGGTTTCAATGCCGACCGGATCTGGGAAGTCACTATGTTATCAACTGCCAGCTGTGTTGAAGCCTAACAAAATCACAATAGTTTTCTCACCTTTACTAGCTTTAATTAAGGTAATTGAATGAATGCAGTCTTCATGATGTTTGCAGTATGACTCCCCTGTTTTTCTTCTCTGTGTCTCTTTTAGGATCAAATCGATCATATGTTGGCTTTAAAGATTAGGGCAGCTTCCTTGAACTCAAAAACTCTCAAAGCAGAGAGGGAAGCTTTGCTGATGGACCTTAAGACCACCACCCCCAATACACGTCTTCTCTATATCACTCCAGAGCAGGCTGCAACAAACACATTCAAAGTATTCCATTTTCATTCAATCTGATTTCTCTTCATAGCAATGTGAGCAAAAAAAAAACAAAAATTCTGATGTATTTTAGGAACTCTTCAAAAATTTAACGAAATTCAATAAGGTTGCGTACCTTGTAGTGGATGAGGCTCACTGCGTGAGCCAATGGGGACACGATTTTCGCCCGGATTATCTCAAATTGGGCGAGCTGAGAAACGACAACAAGATTCCTGTTATTGCGTTAACAGCGACGGCAGGGGTTGAGGTAAATTTTACAACGAACAAACGAGAAAACTTATTGAAATTGTTCCCGCCACACTTCTTTTCTAATTATATCATTTGGGATCCTCACAATGACCCATCGTATCGTATTTGGATCGGTCGTAGACCCTATCACAACTTTATTCAATTATTTTCTGGCACCTGAGCTTGTTAATTTTTATAATTACATTTGGTATGCCAATTATATCCATTGATTCAATTATAGAAAACGTTAACGACATTATGTGATTCTTTTCACTCACATGAAGATGAAATCTAATAATCACCACAATAAAATTGCTTTACAACAGTAAATTTATTAAAGTTTGATTAAAAATCACGTTGCAAAGCTAGATTATGAGAAGTAAATAAATAAATAAAATTTAGCTGTGATTTTAGTGAAAGTAAATAATTATCTTATTTATAATTATTGTTAAAGAATTAGTAATAATTTGGCTTTTATTGTATTTGTGATGCCAAATAAATATATTATTATTATTTGTTTTCTTTTTTCTTTTGTATCAATGCTGTCTATAAACTATTATAAATGTTTTAAAAGCAAAAATTGAGAAAATTATATTTTACTTCAGCATGAAGAGTAAATGAACTAATTACTTGTGTATTGCAGGTAACAAAAGATATTGTGAACAGTCTAAAGTTGTCAATAGATCATAGAAAATTCAAAACTTCGAGTTTTCGAAGTAATCTGTACTATGACGTGTTTTATCAGAACATAGTCGACGATATGTACAAGCATTTGAAAGACTTCATATTGGAATGTTTGAACTCCGAGGAGGAAAAGGAACTGCCGAAGGTGCGAATATATACATTAGCTTTTCTTTCTCAGATCAAGTGATTTTTAATTTGTTTGACGTTAGGAGGAAAGGTCCTGCGGCATAGTTTACTGCAGAACTCGCGAACAAACCGAAATCATTGCGGAGAAATTGAATTCTATGGGAATTAGGTCGCAGTGTTATCACGCGGGTTTGAAGAATAAGGAGAGATTGGATTTCCAGGAACAATGGCAGAGCGGCGATTATCCTGTAATTTGCGCGACTATAAGCTTCGGTATGGGCGTGGACAAATCGAGCGTTCGCTTCGTCATACATTGGGGCATTCCAAAAGATCCTGCCTCTTACTATCAGGAGTCCGGGAGGGCCGGACGTGACGGGAAGCCGTCCAAGTGCAGAATATATTATAATAAAGCCGACAAAAAAGCAGTTGAATTTCATTTAACCCGAGATCTTGGTAAAGCGCAAGACAACGTTTCCAAAAAATTGAACGCTCAATCTGCAATGAACGGTTTTGCAAAAATCGTCCAATATTGCGAAACGGTTCTGTAAGTTTTATTTGGTAAAGTCAATGTGAGTTTCTTTTGAATTTGCATGGTTTATTTGTGCAGGGAATGCAGACATAAGTTATTCTCGAAATATTTCGGAGACCCGCCGCCAAATTGCATGAAGAATTGCGATATATGCACTAATAGAAAAGTGGTGGCCGACATGGTTGAGTTGTTCCACACGAAGAACATCCAGTTCAGCACGACCCAGGAAAATGTGGACTTTGAGGATATGTACGGAGGTGGACGAAAGGGACAAAACGAGTTGAGTTGAATCTAATTATTTATTTGAATTGTTATATAATTACGAATATTTCAGTGAACTTGAAAATTACGGAAATGAGTGCGAGTCTGATGGTGAGAGGGAATCCAAGGCGAAAAAGCAGACAGACGAGTTCATTAAGAAGCAGTTTGCCATAAGGAAGAATCCAAAGGTTTGCATAGTGTCCTTTGAATTATTTTCGCTTTCGACTAATTTTGCCTTAACACAATAGGAAGCTTCGCATAATACTATGGACAAGTTACTTCAGAAGAACGCTCGGGTTCTTTCCGCCGCATCTACAGGTAGTAAAGTAAAGGGTCTTAGCTTAGTCAATCGGGAGCAATACCTGACCAAAATCACTGACACCCTTTATGATAATTACATACAATGCGCCACGAATCCCCTATTCGATAGAAAGGACGTAGAAGATTGTAGTGCCAATTTGGAATATGGTGTGTTTTCTACCACTACTAATATTACAATGTATCGAAGCGCTTTAGCCAAACTAGTAACAGATTGAACAAACAATTCTTGTCGATATCCTTGTTAATGTTCTCGTTATAGATTGCGTTCATCAAAAAGTGCACCACTGATGGACAAATTCACGAGGCTCTGGCCACGCACGAAGTTCAACCGGCCAAGAACGAAACTCTGTCAGATCTCTTTAGGAACATCAAAAAAGATCAGACGATACGGAAAAGAAAGCAGGATAATCAAGAACCTGAGGACAACAAAAAACTAAAAACTTGCTTTGTGAAAGCCAGCGAACTGATACAGATGGAAGTCGAACCACCGGAGGACGAAGGGGAAAACACTATAACCAATTACTTTAAGAAGACCAATATCAACAAGTTTTCCGAATTAATCGACTCCGAACATAAAAGTGACCTGCAAAAACATGAAGAAATCGTACCAGAAAATAATAAATCGAATGAACTAGAAGTTACGAAAAGTGATGAATCCAATGTGTCGAGCGTTGATAAAGACGTAATGCTCAAAGTCAGGGAAGAAGAGAGCGTCTCTCGCATCGAGGATTTAGAGCGCAAAACAGAAGATGCTTTGCGAAGTAAATCGAATAACAACTGTCACGTTAAGAGCAAGCCCAAAGTAGTTCCGGTATCAAAACCTCAACCTGTTCCCAAACCTTCTGAGAAGCCAAAAGTCGAAGGTCAATCAACCTCTACAAAGGATATCAACTCGAAGGTGAAAAAACTTTTCGGAGCTGATTCGGATAATGAACAGTCAGACACAAATAAATATACTCCCAACAAAATCGACGACAAAGATAAGTCGAAGAAGTTGAACAAAGTCAATGCTGGTGTTCTGGTAGTTAAACTCTTAAATCCTGCCTTCAGCGAAGGCCGCTTCGAGTCCAAAGAAACCTTCAAATCTATATCAAGAGCTATTACTCATGCATTTATTGGCAAAGGTAACTATATTTTCTAAATCTATTAATTTCCATTTGTTAAAATATTATGCAACCCATTATGCTATGTTTAACGCATTTGTAATTAGTGACGAATATTTATTGTCTTTGCTTATGAATGCACTTGTTAATAAATGTGTACGCCCTCATTTGGGGGTGGTTTTCTTTCCGCAGATGTGAACGACATCAAAATGTATGTGCGAAACTTCCTGGAGAAGAACCAAGTGATTACCTCAAAGACTGAAGTGTAAAATATTTAGTTGTATGTGTAAATAGCCGCTTCTTAGCTTCTCTTTTTCTCAATACACACAATAACGAACAAAAAGAAAATCGTCAAGTTTAGTTCGCAGAAACACACTGAAATTAATTGATGGATGCCATCAATAATGCAATGCAATGTAAGTTTAAAAAACTTAGCAAAGAAATCCAGTCTCAAGAACGGCACTAGATCATCAATATATTTGTAATTAAAGATTATATATATAAAAATAATTAAAGCCAACTAGATTTCATAATGAATGTATTTTTCTTAATATTTATATAAATAATAGATATTCTATTAATTTTAATGGAGGAGAAGAAGGAAAGCAGCGTATGTTATGTTTTTTATAATAATACTGTTCGTTAACGTTACCTAGGAATTATAACGATTTGTTTTTTTTTTCATTCCTATCTGCTATTGAATGTGTTGACTATTATTATTGTATAATTAAAAAAGGAAACAAACTAAAAAAATAATTTTGTTGAAAATTAATTTAGTAAATGGATATTTAACTTGGTATAGCTGTTGCGACAATTGGGATATTTATAAATGTAATATGTACAATATATTAGACTACTGGAAAACGATTGATTGTAAATGTAAAACAAATGGCGAGAGTTTAGAGATAGAATATGAGGCGGCGGTAGCTATTTAAAATATTATCACTGTGTAAATACGCTTCGCCATTCAGAGTTGCACGCAGAGCCACAAGAAAGAAGAAAAGAATGCAAAATACATTTCACATTAATTACGGTTCTAAACTTCATTTATTATCACAGTAAAATATAGTAAACAAAAAATCATGTTTTTCTTTTCGATATTAAAAAAAAAGTACAATTGTGTTCACCTCTCTGATTCTTTTATTCTTCTCTATAATGCTATAAATATTTAAGTGTGCGTTGTTTTGGATTTTTTTTGTTTGTGTTGTGATATGGAAGATTCAAATGTTTTTTTTCGAATGTGTGGGAAGACGAAATCGGTTTCCTTTTTTCAAATAATAAATTACTTACTCAACTAAAGCTTTCATTTACATTTTTCAGTTAGCGTGCATTATTTTTACTTTGTAATAACAAAGAAAAAGTAATTAGGTTTCTCTGCCCGAGATGAAAACGAAGATGTTGCGTAAATCGTATTTTATAATCAAAGGGTCCTATATGGCCCAAAATATAAATCATATGTAAATGTTCTTTTTATAAGGAAATTTTTGTTCGTTTCGATAAGATAAGGTACGGTATTTTGTATAGTTTCAAGCATTTATGAAATGCTCTTCGTGTTAAGTACCTTTTTGGGCATACCCTTGAAGCGCGACGCTGTGAGATTTTTGTGAAGGATAAACAAAACGAAAATAAAATTCAATACAAGATGATCTGTGTGCCGCCTACGACTTGAGTGCGTTGGCCGCGGGTGCCCTGTTTCTACCACACCTCACATTTGCCCTTCGGATTCATGGGGCTGCCCGGTTTGCACTTGAACTCGTCGCTGAATTCGCGCAAATTGGTCAGCGACCCGATGACCCGGTATCGGCCTGGAGAGTGAGGGTCCTTCTCTATCTGCAGACTGGCCGATTCTTTAGTGACAGCGGTGCACCACACCTGGGCGAAAGCAACAAAGAAGAGTTGCTTATGGTTGAGACTTAGACCGGGCAGCATCTGGGGATCTGGTTTTCCCTTCATGTGATCCATATAAGCATGGAAGGCGGCTTTAAGTCCACCGTTATCCGCGATGTTTTCACCAAGAGTCTGGTTCCCATTCAAATTCTTCCCATTCAGCTGATATTTACCTAAAATCAACTCAATATAGATTAAAGCTTTCTATTGTACTATTCCGCTTACTGTACTGACGTGCGACGCACTTGGTGCGTGCCTTAAACTTTTCGATGGTCTTGTTGTTCCACCACTGATGCAGATTTCCATCTTTATCGAATTCTCGTCCCTGATCGTCAAAACCGTGCGTAAGTTCGTGCCCAACGACTACCCCCATTCCTCCGAAGTTCAGGCTGGAAGGGAAACTGGGATCGTAAAAGGGAGATTGCAGGATGCCAGCGGGAAACACCATCTGGTTCTTAGTGGGAGTATAATACGCGTTGACGGTGGATGGCGACATGCTCCATGTGGTTTTCTTCACAGGCTGATTGATCTTCTCCAGGTTTTTTCTAAGCGTGTATTTGTTCAAATTGATGTTATTCTCGAAGTAGGTGTCGTTGCGCACTTCCAAGATCGCATATCGTTCATCGAGAAGCTTTGGGTCCTGTATGAAGTCCGGATAACCTGAAACACAAATAAAATTGATCCAAATGTGCTAGCTATAAAATCTCGACAATATTTTAATGACAAAAAGGCTAAAGAGATGCAAGATAATTAAGATTTTCTTAATTGAGAAGAATTGACGTTAGCCATTTTCTGATATTCGTCATTAAGCGATGGTTTGCTAAATATTCTCTTTTAAAAAGTTGTAAATTGGTCCTAAAGTAAAAAAAGTCTTACCTATCATATCAGAGATGGCATCTGCTTTGATCTCGGCCGCTTTCCTTGTCTCCTTGTCCATCCAGTCCAAATTCTTAAAGTTTCTTTTAAAGGCCGTTCTTACATCGTTGATCATAGTCTCTGCATGAACCTTTGAGTCACCATGGAAAACCTCACGTACAAATATTGCTCCAACCGCAAATCCTAAATAATCAAATAATATATTTATTTAGTTAAAATATATTCTATTTGAAAAAAAAATTTGAATAAGTTTTATTAAATAATTTGTTTTCATAGGGTTATCAAGAAAGTATATTTGAATTAGTGATTCAATCTTACAATGAGATTCGTATCAAAATCCTTTTTGGTAATAATATTTTGATATAGTTTGAAGACTTCGAGATTTTCTCTATGCAATGCGTGAATTTATCCAGTTCTAAATATAGCTTTGAATATTTGCATATTTCTCTCTGATTTTATTTTGATTGGCATGGATATCCAAAAAAATAAAGATATGTTAAAACTATGAAAATACTGTATCTAAACAGATATTTTAAGATATTATAGTCTGCATTATATCATACATCTGCATTATCATACATTATATCATACCTAAAACATTTGTCGTATCCGAAACGCAGTACCTCCATTGAGCTTCTTCTCCACTTTCCGAGCCCATCATAGCTTTTCTTAAGCCTTTATAGGCATCGCGGAATGCCTTTGATAAGCAACCTGTAAAGGTGCGAACCGTCTGCCAAACTAAATAATTATTTAAAACTCTGAAAAGTTAATGAGTTATTGTAAAACAAATTGATCAATTGCTATAATCATACATTTTTCCTTCGGCGGTCTTATTGTACTCTTCGATTAAAAGCGTCAAATTAGAAAGGTATTCGGGTGCGTAAACAACGACATCGTCTTTGCTGCTAATCTTCTTGTTCACTATCCTCATGGCATTATCGAAGAACAACTGCCAATTGATCTGTAAACTTCAAAAATAAATAGATTGTTAAATTGAATATGAAACACTAACGAATCCAGCGCGATCCTGAAGTTCCGCAACGGACAGCAGATTGTATAGTGTTTCTTCATCTCTTCGCAACTCGTTAGGTATAGTGATATTTGCCAATTTGGTTTCGAACTCAATGACGCCGCTCATCTGATCTCTGGTGGAATTGGGATCTCCACCGAGCAATTCTCCAACCTGATGGAAATAATGTTTGAGATAAGTCAATTTTTACTTAGACTTTGATTTACCTTTGTCATGTAATCCAAGTAAGCATTCAGAATTTTTTCGTGCTCGGTTTTGTTGAGGTAATGTTCCCTGGTTGGTAAGGTCAAACCGCTTTGATCCACCTGGAGCACGTGCCTCGTAGAATTCTTGTCATCCTCACCAACGGCGTATGAGAATAGACCTCCTATGTTGTATTGATTCTGGATAATTTGAAGCGTGTTCTGCAAGCTCCAGCGATTTACGTTAAAACCGCTGTCGGTGATGTTCCAACCCCCGATATTCTTCAACAGCTCTAGCATTGGTTTAGCCCCAAGATTTTCGACGGTGTCATTCAGATCCAAGCAGGACTCGTAGTACAGTTTAGCTTTCTGCTCGGCCTTAGATTTTAGATCGTCTAGGGGTTGTTCTGAAAAGTAAAAAAAATAGTTAAATGAACGAAATTCACTTTTACTAAACTCACCTAGAACGTGTTTAATAATTTGCTGATTCTTCTGCTCCAATTTCAAGAAGCTGTTCCAGGTGCTTTTTCCTTCGGGTATTGGATTCGCACGAATCCAACCGTCACAGGCATACGAGTAAAAGTCTTCGCAAGGATCCACCGCAGGATCCATCGATTCCAGAATACCATTGGCAATGTGAATGCACGATTTATTTAAACAAGGCATCATGGATAGTTCGTCGGGAATCGTGGTTGGTTTCTTTTGGAACAAATAGTTTATATTTAATAACATGAGATGTTTTGTTATTCACGTTGCGCTTACATGATTGACCAGTTTTGCTTCGCGTATCCTCCGATCCGCCGAGCTCAATAGAAATGCCAAGACCATGACGACGAATAGGAGGGTGCCCACTAAGACCAGGAGGGCTTTCTCAAGCATGGATCGCTTCTTCCACATGCTGCTTCCCGTGTGGTAACGGATGTGCGTCGCGCTTGAACTTATACCTAAACATCTGAGGAATTACAACCAGAACTTGGACAAGCAGATAATAACATTATCTTACCTTCCGTCAATTGGACGCTGCCGACGCTATCGTCGTCCGCAAAATCTGCATGCTTGTACCTCGTCATCTGTAAATTTGAAAACGAATTATTCACAAGAAAAAACTTTCAGCGTCCGAATGGATAAATGGTGAAAATTTTATAATTAATAATTTCCTTTGCTAAGCAGATTTGGTAAACTCCAATTGAAGTCACTTAAAGGCCAGGAGTAGTGAACTCGCAGCGTGCAGAACGCGACTGAACGCGCAGATGATGGCTTTTCAGTTCGGAGCCATCTGTTTGTTGTCCAAGTACGCTTTTCATTTTCATATATATAGATCATCCTATACACACTCGCAAAACCATCTACATATGTACTCGGATATTTTTTAAATCGATAATTCCTCACGCGTCTGCATAAACAGACAGATTACAAAAAATCATCGCAATTCCGAAATTTCCTCATTTATTTACGTTTCGTTCATCAACCATGATATACAGATATATATATATACGCATCCATCGTGTTTATTTTACTTGATACAAACAGAAGTCGCTCGCTGTTACGTCAATATGTGTATATTTATGCGGGTTCAGCGCATTTTTCATTTCACATATTCATCATTTGCAAAATATTAAAAACAGGTATTGACTATAGTAAAATCCGATACAAAGGTGGTGAGTTTGAAATTCATACCAAAATTTAAAAAATCTAATGCAGACGTTGGTCATAATGTTTCATAAAAACACAAATAATCAATCAATTATTAGTAATTCTGTAAAACAGAAATACTTAGAAACAGACTTTCAAAAACCAAGCCCTGTTTCTGCCACCATTTTGGATAACCACAGCCAATTTCAATTAAATAAAGTTCAAATTGATATTTGTTGATATTTTAAAAACTTTCCGCACATATAATTATTACTCTAATATATCACAGCAAAGCATTGGAAAATGTAATAATACTTAATGAATGAATTCAGCGATGATCAAACTTATTGACTCAATTTAATCACAAACCGATTATCAACAAAATTCTGAAAATCACTTTGCTTTAGTCACTTCAATTCCACATATGAGTTCTAATCACCAAGGAAACGCCACTATTGCTTCTTATCCAGAAAGTATCTGTTATGTTAATATTTACGCGACGCACACTTTGGATATTACATAAACCGGCTGCACTGTTGCGCCGTGACACTTTGACACTTGAAAAATATTATCTATTTATATAATCACAGCATTTTTGTTAAATTACAAATTTGTAAACAAATTTATAAATTTGTAAATTCTTAATTCGATACATATTTCATAAATAAGGTCATATCATTAAAAAGTATCCAAGGCAATACTAAATAATAAATTTGTTAAGTAACTATTAAATATTGCGAAAAAAAAATGTTTTTACGCATACAATATAATATTTCTAAAAATCTTTGCTTTGTTTAAAAAATGTACAATTTGCAGTTAAACTACATTATTCCAATTAATGTAAAATTTATTGATTTGATAATATTTGCAGCGGCAGCAATTATTACATATAATTGGACGACAAACTGTGAACGCAATTGTGCTTCGTTTTGCTCGCGTTTTCATTATAATTTATTCATTTTTATTTTCGTTACATAATGCAATTCATTGTATTAGAAAACGGAGCGCCATTTATCTTTCAATTTGTCTCTGACCTTCACCAACTTAATTCATAAAAAAAATGTCAAGTTAATTTTAAGATAAAAAAAAATACATACAATAAATATTATTTAAACTATGAGTATTTTAACAATATGTAATTTTCAATAATAAGATTAAATGAATCTGAATAGACAAGACACTTAAAACAAGCAAACATTTATTAATTACAAATAAATGCAGTTTCTGGGAAACGATTCATTTTAATTAACCACTTTTCTTTTTATTGAAACGTTTACTGGTTATATAACTTTCTTAATTGCAATTACTCGACACAAATGGCGTGATTTGCAACGAAATGTTCTCTATTAGAGTTATAGAAACAAAAATTATAATTTTAATATTCCATAAATTAATTCCGCGTTTTATATAAAAGTATAATCTGAAATTCGTAAAATTACGTAAAACGAGAATATATAGTTTTTTTTTCAAAACATCGTTTAGCTGTATTCTGCATAAAAAGAAATGGAAAACAGCAATTGATATTTGATTTACTAGATTGATGTGCAACAAAAATAATTCAATGTTGCACATGACTCGTCGAGTTTCAAAACAGCAAAAAGAAAATGAGCAAAATCATGATTATTTGATTTATTTGAGATAACTTAATCTATAATTACATTACATTAACTATGGGCGACTAATAGCTGAATGGTTAAGTCACCCCGGTTCGAATCCACGCTCTTTGTGAGCCCTCGCGGTGCTTGCAGCAATAGGGCCATCGTTCAGCCAAGTCGATGGTCAATGACAGTATTAAGCATAGCAGCAGATACAAATGGAATAGTGGAATCGTAAAGTATGAATATACTAAAGTTATTCTGCAAGCGGACAGCCAACCAACAAATTACATAAGAATATAATGGTAAAAACTTCCATTGGAAAATTTACCAAGGAATAAGATTGTAAATTAAATATACTATGACATAATAAAAAATAAAACATTAAACATTAAATAAAATATTAAAATGCATTTCATTTACTCATAAAACATAAATAGAAATAGATTTTTTTTATATTTATAATCGTTATTATTTATTTTAACAACCATACTTTCAATGTTGTTTGAAATTTTGAGAACATACTTTAGTTTGTTTTTCAATTTATATATCAAATCTCTCAGTATTCTTCCTTCAATTTCGATTCAACTCTATGCATTACAGCAAATAACACAATTGTATATAAAACGGGCTACGTCGATGATCGTACAATGCGTTGCAATTTATTTCAATGATGCAATTTTTCATTATATACATTAAAAATTGCGCACATTTCATAGTTTGAAATAACAACGATAAACTATAAATATTAATACTTTTCACACTAAAAATAACTTTCAAATTAAAAACCTATTTGGGACGTAACCGTAAAATTACAATTATTATATCATACATACAAATGAAATACTGCTATATGTATATGAATTTTATCTATTTTTTTAATTTAAAATACGATAATAAATGTAAGTTTATATAACTTATTAAATCTGAAAAATGAATGAAAATTTCTCCATAAATAATATATTTATATTATTTGCAAACAACAGGCATATAAAAAAAGTTAACATTATATAAATATGATAATTGTAGATTGAACAATAAAATGAATCTTATTTTATTTAAGGATTTAAGGAACAAAGACATTCTCCACTTGAATGCCAATTTTAAGAAATCTCGACCGAACGCTGAAAAGAATGTAATAAACTTACTATAAAATGACTAAATTTGCGATGTTTTCCAAATTATCTCTGCCTTTGTCAACTGGACGCGAAATTTGCGGGATTAATCAATTATGTAGGACGGAAATTAATGTTTTCGTCCGTTAATGTTAAAATTATGACAATAATAACATAGAGTGCTCCAAACGTAGAAAAATGATTTAAAATGTTTACGCAGAAGCACGGTTTATGATTCCAGCCAAAACTCAATTTAGGAAATTTTTTAAACATTATATTTTCAGAATATTTGTCAGAATTTTTCCTTTTTTTTCTTAATATATTCTATTGAAATTATCAAAACTTATATGAAATTGTAATTTTAAAATGGAAAATATGTAAGCAAATTTGTCAAAATAATTTAATTTTTGTAGATAATTTAACAGTTTATCAATTCATTAAAGTTTTACATTAACATTTTTTACATAGGTCATTTAAAGTAATGTCAATATTTAGATGGAGAGCTTTAAAAGTAGTAAATTATTTAAAATGTTTACGCTGAAGCATGATTTACGATTCATTAAAATCAGCCAAAAAGTGCTGTATGTATTTTTATAACCATTTCTAAGTTATCGATTTAGGAAATGTTTATAAAAAATATTTTTTTTATTTATGTTTTATTCAAAACATCAAAACTTATTAAGAATTGCAAACAAAAGGGGTATAAATTCTGATATTTTTACCTCTTTAAAATTACAATTCTTCTTAAATTTGTCCATGTTTGTATTAAGATTGTAATTTTGAAGTGTTTAAAGTTTTTATGAAATTAAACAGTGTTTACATATGTCGACATATGTTTAGATTTGTATTTTTTAATACAGTAAAAATGATTTTAATTTTCTTTATATGTGTAATATTTCAATATTGTTTGTATTATCATGATTTTTGACGAATTTAATTATGAAATCTGCGTCAAATACACGTAAATCGTAAAACTATAGTTGAAAAAATATTTTTTTATGAGATGGCAGAAGACAGGGTGCACAAAATACAAGTGGCAGTACAAATTCCCAAAAAACAAATTAATAATATCTTTGTTAAATAAATAAATAAATAAAAACTTAATTTACTAAACGCCAATTTTGTTTAACTCAGGGGTTCCCAAACATATTCGGTTAATTTATCAGAACTTTATATTAACATATCAGAATTTTCGCTTATAAAATAAGTAACCACTAAAATGGTTAACCGGCGTTTTAATGTGCTTTAAATTTTAACAAATATTAGAATAAAACATTCCAAGTTTGAAAACTAAATGAAATTATATCAAAGTTAGAAAAGATTATTAGGTGTAATTCAATTATGTTGTAAATGAATGAATGTATTAGTGAACAAAACAAATTGTATTAGAAAACAACTGCTCAACTTCTAATCAATACGTCCAATTACTTGTAATGAAATAAGCGTTAGCAAAAGTGCATCATAAAGACAAATAAAATCCAATTTAGATAATCCTTATGGTAACAAACTTACAATTAATAATCGTTCAAAGCAGTGCAGCGATTTTCGCGTAGCTCACTTTTCGTTAAATTTCCTTCTGGTTCTCCGGCTTCGGGCTATTTTTAAACACGTAACTTTTGCGTCAGAAGGAAACCGATTTGCGTTACTACTCTCCGCCCGGGTAGATGATTATATAGAGGGTGCGTTGTGCTCAAATATTTACCTGGATTAGGTTACATTGTGGCTCGCCCGTAATCAGCGTAAAATAGTTCTAAACGAGATACGTCTATATTGAACATGTAAAACGATACTGTCGTTAGAAGTATAGTACGTATGCTAATAATTGCGAAATGTAATCGGGAGATCGATAAGGGTTGTACGATACAACTTGCAGTTGAGTTCTCGATATTGGAGGAAGCTTTATTTGTAGATGTATCTGGATGTATCCTAGTTTTAGCGACTAATTAACTAACCTTAACGCTCATGGTGTGTTATGATGGTTTGTTTTGGTTTTTATCGCCAGTGGAATGATTCGGAAGTGTGCCGGTTCCGCGAACGATGCGTATTTTTTTTGTGCTAAAGATCGAATGCGTTGTTTTGCTCTTTTGCACTTTATTTTGCTTTCTTCCGTCCCTTTTTTTGCGTTAACGTCGGGGTAAAGGGATGCGCGACGACGCCCAGGACGCACACGAATCGACGTCGTTGGTACTTCCAGTGCACGAGGAAGGAGATACCTAAATTATTGATTTGTTCAAATGTTGGAAAGTATTGCAGCATCCTATCTACGCGCGCATTTTTCATGTCTGTTTATTATTATTTGTTAAATATATCAAATAATATTGGTTTGAAAGAATTCCATAAAGCGCACACGAAAAAATAACTATTTTGTATCATTTAGTAATACGATCCTCAACAAACAATATCATTAAAAGCAAAATAATAATTACAATTCTGCAGCAAATTATACGCAGCGACTAATTAATTATCCTATAGGGACGTTTTAATTAATTGCAATTAGTGCTAATTAAATTTGCATTGCAATTTATAAATCAAATTATGTAACACAAAATATTCATTTAATTAAATTAGTCTAACATAAATTCGGAATAATTTTGGCGGAAAGACGTCAGAACAAGGGTCTTGTGTTCAATATAAATTGTAAAATAAATAAATAGAAATATTCAAATACTTACGAACTCCCGGATTTACAAATTTCTAAAAGCTTTAACTTGTTACAATAAGATATATAGTCATAAAAAATTAACTGTCCAAACAAAAATTGATAATTTTATTAATAAAATATAATATTTTTGTATTTGTTTCTTTTGTCGTTTTTTATTAAATATTTTTTCAAATTTATGCAGTCGGTAATACGGAATTTAACATATATAAAAATAAAAACCATGAAAAAGTGTGATAAGATAAGTATATTTTTAAAATTCCCCCGACTTACAAACAAATTCGATTTACGAACATAGGAACGGAACTACTTTGTAAAACGCGGTATCTTCAAAGAGTATATATTTTTATCTTCAACTATTAATATATCTCAAAATTATTTTGGAAAATTGTTTTAATTAACAAAAATAGTTACATTGCATTGATTTGATATTTTGATTTGATTTTATAATTTTCTTAAAATCAATATTAAAGCTACTTTTACAAAAGTATAATTAAGTCCAATCCTAACAAATAACTTTGACATCGGACAGAAAGACCTATGTTCAATAGCCATTAATAACAATTAATTAATTAATTATAATTAATATATATTTTATTATAAACTGTAACTAGTTTTATAAAACTTTCCAAATTTATAGAAAGTTGAATTTGGATTTTAATTGAATTAAAATTAAACTTGTTAGATTGCATTATTAGAACTTTTTGTTTTACAATTTTGGTTTTTTGAAGCGTTTCTTGAACAATCCATATTGAATTTCAAAAGTAGTAGCAAAAGTAATTAGTTTTATTTTTGTAATTTACAGACTGAAGCGTCATCTAGCGTCGAAGATGGATTCCGATTAGAATATTTACATTTATCATCAAATGCCAAAGTATTTGAATCGATTCGAGGTTATATTTTGTTGCTGTAAAATATTAAAATAATGGAACCACCACCGATATTACCTGATATCGAGCACCTACTAAGGAACTATCTGATTTGTCCTGATAAATTGCCAATACATAAATATGAGAGGAGCCAGGAATTTTGGCCCAGGACCTCAAATTATGAATCCCTTTTGCACTATGATGGTTCGCCGTTAGCCACGACCCTCAAGGTTCGTTGCGCTTATATGTACATTGTTTTTACATTGATAATATTATGTTTATACTGCTCAGGTGCAACGTGATCCTAATACTGGGGAGATAACTGAATTTAAAGAGGTTCCTATACAAGGAGCCGGAGCTACTGCTAAAAACTCAATGTCTTTAACCAGAGCACCAGGATTACCTTCAGAAACTGTTCGAGGTTGTGCCTCTTATATACCATTTATGCCAGCAGGCTTTCATGAAGCAGAAGTGGACTTGCCAACTGAATCAGAATTATTAGATAAAAGTATTTTTTTATTAGATGATCTTATAAGAAAAGTTGCTCATGTTTTTTTTTTAGATTTGTTAACTGTGCCCCCAGGTTTCAACAGGGGTATAACATTTAAAGAAGATGGGTTTACTGTGGAAAATGATAAAGATAAAATTGCTGTCAAGGATGTTGTAATTGGTGCTAACAACAAACTTAATCTATTTGATTTGTTGAATAATGAGGATAATTTCTCAGGTAAACATAATTTAATATTTCGTCATAAACCTATATAAAAAATAATGACATTTATTTACAGATGTTTGGAATGTTGTGCAAACACCGAAAGCGGATCAAGAGGTGTCTGTTAACTCGGAAGAACTTCCGGAAGAAGCTGATGTTATACCTAAGGAAGTACCATTATTGGTTATTAGTAAGGAGGTAGAGCATACTTCAATGAAGGGGACGGAATTCGCTATATTATTGGACTCGACGAAGCCGATTCCGGATTTTAACGAACGCATTCCGGAAATGGCTCATCAATATCCATTCGAATTGGATACATTCCAAAAGCAAGCTATACTTCAATTGGAACAACACAATCACGTCTTTGTTGCAGCTCACACGTCTGCGGGAAAAACTGTTGTGGCGGAGTACGCTATTGCTTTATCTAAGAAACATATGACTAGGTCAATTTATACCTCTCCAATTAAGGCACTGTCCAATCAGAAGTACAGAGATTTCAAGCAAATTTTCAAAGACGTCGGTTTAATCACCGGTGACTTCCAAATCAATCAAACTGCTTCTTGTCTCATAATGACCACGGAGATTTTGAGAAGCATGCTGTATTGTGGAAGCGATGTTACCAGAGACTTGGAGTATGTAATCTTTGACGAAGTACATTACATCAACGATAAAGAGAGAGGACATGTTTGGGAACAGGTTTTGATCTTGTTGCCGGCGCACGTGTGCGTCGTTCTCCTCAGTGCCACAGTACCAAATACGACGGAATTTGCCGATTGGTTGGGAAGAACTCATCAAAGAAAAGTTTACGTAGTCACCACGTACCAAAGACCCGTTCCACTCGAACATTACCTGTACACTGGAACTGGAGGTAGTACTAAAGATAACAGATATTCGATATTGAGCAATAAGGGTTGGAACGAAGGTGGATACATGCAAGCCAAAGCTTCCATTCCGAATGTAAGCAAATACCATCCGAAACAGGAGAAAACCATGTGGTTCTCTTTGGTGGACCATTTGAAGAAGAAAGAGCTTTTACCGGTGGTCGTGTTTACATTCTCCAGGGCGAAGTGTGACAACAATGCAGAAAACTTGAAGAGTCTGGATTTAACCACCGAGAAAGAGAAGTCAGCGATTCATAGATTCTTCGAAAAATGCGTGAAGAGTTTGAAAGAACCAGATCGCAATATTCCACAAATTCGTAGAATGCGCGAGATCCTCGAACGCGGTATAGGCGTTCATCACAGCGGTATTTTACCAATCATCAAGGAAATGGTGGAGATGCTCTTCCAGAATGGACTTATTAAAGTATAAATTATATATCTCTTTTTAATTGAGTACTTACTCTATTTTATTCATTTTTCAGTTACTTTTCGCAACTGAAACATTTGCTATGGGCGTAAACATGCCAGCTCGTACAGTCATATTCGATTCGATTTCCAAACACGACGGAAGGGAAAGAAGAAATCTACTTCCTGCCGAGTACATTCAAATGGCTGGCCGTGCTGGACGGAGAGGTAAAGACAAGAAAGGCACAGTGATTATACTTTGCAAAGGCTTATTACCATACGCCATGGAATTGCAAGACATGATGTTAGGAAAACCGAGCCAATTAACCAGCCAGTTCCGATTAACGTATGGAATGGTATTGAGTTTGCTCAGAGTGGAGAGTCTAAGCGTTGAAGGAATGATGTCAAGAAGTTTCCGTGAAGCTGATCATCAGAAGAAGATGAACGGCCTTAGGGCTAAACTCGTGGAGGTTGAGAATAATCTCAATAGAAACTTCAGCGGCGAACTGAGCAGTTATTTGGAACCATTGATAGTATTCTATGAACGGGCCAAAAAGTATTTGGATGCTAGAAAAGAGTCACTTGTAAGAAGACTAAATTGTTGTTGTATATTAATTTTATTGTTTTTATTTTCAGGAAGATGTTATGAAATCGAAGAAGGTGGTGAAAGAGTTAATTCCTGGACGTGTGGTTTTGATAACATATCAACATCACATCAATAAATTGGCTTTAATTCTATCAAACACAATACGGTCTAATTCCATTACCTTAAAAGTGCTTGTTATAATAGACGAATCTGAAAATCAGAAGAAGTCAGAATTATGGTATCAAATGTTGGCGTTGTCACGAGACAATCTTTATGCACCTATTGGTGGTGTTTCATCTCATGAAGTACTCAGCTTGCAACCAATCAATATTTTCAAAATATACGATCGCAAACTGAAGATCGACGGCGATATGGTGTTAAAAGATTGGGATAAGAGGCAAATCCCTCGATTCAGTGATAATCCTCCAGGTCCATCCTGTAACACTGCCATTCAGGAATTGATGAAAGTGCAAGATGAGGCCAAGTCTGGTGGTAATTTGAAAGCCTTGGACTTGATCACCGATCTGAAGATCAACGAGCACAATCTATACGAAAACACGAAATTCATTAATAACCTTAGACAATTAGTGCTGGATCAGATGAGTCTGATCAGGATCCCCAATTTTGAGGATCAATTCACTATCGTTTATGAGAAAAAAGTGCTGGAAGATGAGAGAGACCATCTGAAGTACATGCTTTCACATGCTAGCATGACTCTGTATCCCGATTACGAGAACCGAATCAAATTACTCAGGGATTTGAAATATGTTGATTTGCAAAACCGAGGTTTGTTTATTTTTATCAAAATTCCGATGAATAATCCATATTTAAAATTAATTATTTGATATTTTTAGTGGAATTGAAAGGACGCGTTGCTTGTGAAATGGGAATGAATGAATTGATCGTGACGGAACTCGTATTACGAAACATTCTTACAAAACTCCAACCTGCAGAAGTCGCTGCTCTTCTATCTTCAATTGTTTTCCAAGCTAAGACTATGATCGATATTAACGAAATAGTCTTAACTGATGAACTGACTAATGTATTAACTTATTGCCGTAATCATTAGTTGCAATTAATATTCATATTTTTTAGGGAATCTTCGAAATTAAGCATATTTATGATGAGATCCAAGCTCTCGAGTTGAAATACGAAATTTGCGAGGAAATGAACAGGGAACTGAATTTCGGATTAGTGGAAGTGGTTTATGAATGGGCCTCGGCTAAAGTAAGAAAAGTAAAGTATTTTATTGCAACTATTTATATATTTTGTTGTAGCCATTTGCTGAAATTATGAATTTGACCGATGTACAAGAAGGCATCATAGTCAGATGCATTCAACAGTTGAACGAAACTATTTGTGATGTGAAAAATGCGGCCAGATTGATTGGGGATCCGGAATTGCAGAATAAAATGGAAGAGGCTTCAACCGCTATCAAGCGTGATATCGTCTTTGCCGCTAGCTTGTACACACAAAAGGAGAGTACAGTCTTATAAATTATTAAAAATCTATTTTTTTTTTCATTTTTTAATTATTATCAAACTATATTTGTATATTGAAACGAATATGAAATTGTTTTGCCATAACAAAACAAACAAATAAAGGAAATACATTAATATATCATTAAAAAAATACAAATTTTGTTAAAGGGCACGTTGTTCATTGTTAGTAGCTTGTCCCTTAGTAACATCACTAATACATTTCCAAGCTCCATCCAGATTCTGCTTCCACAGACTGATCTTATTGTCACCTCCAGATACTGCTAAGATGTTTCCATTCAAAGACCAACTGACATTCCAAACAACATCATCAAATGTTTGCAAGATATTTGAGCTCCAACTCTGACAATCTTCACTGGTCCAGATGACAACTCTTCTGTCTTGAGAACAGCTGGCAACAGTGTGTCTGCTTAATCCAACTGATGGAGCCCAGGCAACATCTCTGACCCAATCTGAGTGCACTTCCAATTTCTTCTCCTCAACCCACTTGTCATCTTCCTCCTTCCATATTTTCACAAGATTATCGCATCCACCAGATACTAATCTCTTTTGCATTGGTCCAACATGATTACTATCAAATGCAGGTTCTGGTGTAATGGCAGGACACCAACTCACAGCATTGCAACCAATGGTATGGGCATTCTGAATCTTCTTTGCATCCCAGTTGTTGGTTTCACTTTGGTATGTTAAAATGGAAATGGATCCATCACTGCTTCCACAGGCAAGTATTAAACCAAACTCAGCTGGAGCAAACTGAACTGAGTTTACACTGGAATCATGATTGGCATATTCGTAATACTTGCTCCACTTCCCTTGGGTCTCCTTCCAAATAATAACTTTGCGATCATAGGAGCATGAGGCCAAGAGGTTGCCAAACATGGGGTGACTCCAGGCAATCTGCCATACAGGACCAAAGTGTCCTTTCAGATCATCAATCAAGTTGTGAGCTCCATTCTTGATGTCGTATACTTTAACGGAATGATCCGATGAACAAGTGGCAAGACGCAAACCATAATAGTCAACCTCGGCATCGTGGATCATATCCTCGTGCCCGGTATCGATGGAATTCAGCAGAGAAGTCATTTTCACTACTTTCAGTAAATAAAAAGACTTTCAAAAACGAAAACCACAAACAAGCTAACGTTCCACGTCACTTTGACACTTTTATTTAACACCAAGTCAAAATTAACTTATTGACCTGGTTACTTTCGTTACTTTACATCACAAGGTTGGTTAAAAGGAAAATGATTCAATTTCTTCGTATTAAATTAATATAATTAAATGAATATAAATTAAAGTATTTGTAGAAAAAACAAATTAATGAAACAAATTGAGTAATATTTAATATTGTTACATTTTAAGAACATTACTGCCAACCAAAATAAATATTTAAAATTATTGGTGGGGGAACTGAATGTCAAAATTCACTTCGTTTCATTCAATCAATAATTTTTCTCATATATTCCAGTTTCTTATTCAAAAAGTTCAATCAAATAAGAAAAGTAAGTTTGCAATAATTAACCATACATTTAGAAGCGTAAACGATTAATTCTGCGATATCTTGTTTCAATTAGGGGTTCGTAAAATGTATTTGAAAATTGTTATATAACTTAACCTCTGATGGATTTATATAATATATTTGATATGCTTCTAGATGTTGTCCAACCAACTTTTGAACGGTGTTAAGAATCATGTGCGCCAAGTGATTTGCACCCGCAACTTGGGTCTTGCCGCACCAGCTTTACAAAAGGCCAGCGATCCAATTCAGCAATTGTTCGTCGATAAACTGAAGGAGTACGCTTCAAAGAGTGGACCGTAAGAATGTTTATCTAACGTTTCACTTAGCTATAATATAATCCATTTTTGTACTTGGGTGTTTAGTGGCTACAAATTAGTTGAACCAAGTGGCGACATCCAGAGGGAATTGAAGGCTGAGTTGGAGAAGGCTGCCAAGCAATATGGAGGTGGTGAGGGAGTAGACATGAAGAAGTTCCCCAGCTTTAAATTCGTAGACCCAGTTGTTGATCCAGTTCACATGGAAAAGTAAACTCATGTTGATATAGCAAAAAAAACGCATTAGATGTTTAATAATAATTAATAAAAAAAAAGTCTTATTATTTTGCTCCTAATCATAACTTACAAAAATTAAGTAACAGTACTTTTCTTCAATTTGAACACTGACAATTTGTATCAAACAAACATCTCAGAAATTAATGATATCTTAGTCAAATGACTAAGGGTGAGAAATGTCATAAAGAATACAAATATTAATATCTCGTTCTTATTTAATATGGACATACAAAAATATAAATATGTAAATTACTGGAATAACAATATACTACTAAATGAATAAACTTAATAAATGTATGATCGCTCTTATTTTATATGCGCCAATGTGTACAGCTTTCTTGTCTTCCTTCCTAGTTTATCTGGGATTAGTTCCAGGGACCTAAAAAAAAAATATCGAAATTAAACAATATTCCGAAAATCCATCAGCAATAATTCGCCCAGCTATTTTCCTGAAGAGGTAATAGCTAGGAGTCATCTCAACTAAAAATTTAATACTTTATGTTACTAACTCATTTTTACAATTATAACCCATAAATCTAATATTTTAACTATCATTTTAGTATTATCATTTTTGTTGATCAATGGTTATTTCATGATACTATTTTTAACTAATTTATAATACCTTGGTTTCTTAAAGGAGACCTCTTCATTATCTTCGTACCTCGTCTAAAAAGAGAAATATATGATAAATAAAATAAACTTGTGAAAACCCTAAATATCTTACATCAAATTCCTGCAACTCGGGGCTCTTGTTCTCGTCGTTTCCTTTATTGATACAAATAGTCGAATTGCATTTACAATTCTCATTGCATGTGGCGGAGAATTTTCTGCAGCCGCACATTTTTGATGAGCAGTCAGTCTTGGAACAACTGCAACCTCCTGATATGCTCCTCTTTGTCGGTACAGTGGTTTCCATGGTGCTTTTCATCTTCCGAAGGCGCTTCGCTAATGGCGTTTTTCTCCAATCAGGATCCTTGGTATCGTCATCTTCGAACGTGGTGTCCATTCGGAGTGGTGTTCCAAATATAATATCCTCTCCGTCTGTGTCCTCTCGCGCTTTCTAATTATAAAATATATTTAATATTTAAATAAAAAATATTTTTAAACCATACCTTTACAAATGTGCCGTTAATATCATCTGTTGACGGACGTTTTGGTCTTGGCGGTGTTGTAATTAATGGTATAGAACTTTTTGACATGTTCTTTGTTTCCTCCAACAATTTCTAAACAATAATTAAATCAATGACATAATTCATTGTAATAATCAGAGAAAACTCACATTAATCTCCTCGACTTTCTTTCGCAGCTCGGAATTCTCTTCCAAAACGTTCTCCAATTTCTGCTCCATCCTCTCAAATTCTTGAATATGGATGTTCTCGTTAATAGCATTTTCTTCCACATTCATCTCGATACCGCGGATGCGTTTGAGAAGAACCGATATCTTCTCTTCATACTCTGATTGAATCTTTGATATTTCATCCCGTTGCTTCTCGCCCAAATACTCATTCCGCTCTTCAAACGAACGGAGTTTATTCACTAGCTGTAAATAGAGTATCATAAAACTAAATCCTCTTAAATCTTCTCAAATGAATCAATGAATACCTCAGACTGATGTGATTGCAAATCATTCAATTTGAATTCCTTTGACGCTTCTTTTTTCTTAATTTCAGCCGTCAACTCAAACAATGCTTTCAACGTGTACTTGGCTTCGCCCATTGTCTGGATGTTGTCAAAACGGGTCTTGCACTTGTTTTCTATTAATAAAATAATAATTAATAATAATACTTATTTAAGGAGAAGCATTACCTTCATCGCTGTCCAAAATTTTCTGTTGGATCTCTTGGATTTGTGCTGATCTAAGTTCGATGTCGTCCTCCAGATGATGAATTTCGCCAATCTTAGTCTCAGTATGTGCATCGTCTGAAGCTTTCAAACTCTCTAACTGATGCTGTAATGTACCTCGATCTTCTATAAGAGTTTCCAATGTCGCGGTGGCTTCTACAGTGCTAACAAAAACATCTAACTCCCTTTGAACCTAGTATCAATAATCACATCATATTATTAATCAGTGACATAATTTACCCATAACAGTTAATTACCCATGGACCAAAGCGTTCGATTTTGCCACTCATTTTAGTATCTTGCGCGGCTTTTCTCAACGCCAAAGCATCCTTTAATCTTTTGTTAATAGCTGCAGCCTCTTCCACTTTCCTTTTCAGTACATTCTGCTGTCTGCTGTGCTTGGTTTCCATTTTAGCAATTTGATTGAGGCGTTTCCTATCTTGATCTTTCAATTTCGACAACTCCCTCTCGCGCTGAATTTTCCACGTCCGGAAGTTATCCGATTCTTGCCGCATGCTCTTGATGAGCTTCACCTTAGTTGACTTCATACTCTGAATCTCGTTATTCAGCTGACGTATTTTTATCTCGTCCTTCTCCTTAAGCTTAATCAGTCTTGCTTGCTCCTGTACTTTCCTATTTAAATCGTGCAACTGTCCCTCTAATTCCTGGACACGCCTTCTGCGTTGCTCGGCTATCTTTGAGCTGGCTCCGTGCGATTTTACGGAATTCAGTTGTTGCAACAGCTCATCTTTTTCCTTCTGCAGTGCCATAATTTTCGCCTCGTTTTCAGCCATTTCGGAAAAGTCAACCATATGACAATTATTGTCGGCAATTTTCTGTGCCAGCATCTCTTTCTGGGCTAACATCCTGGTCACCTCCTGCAGCTGATAGTTCATTGCGATCTGTTGGGCCGTGTGCGATTCTTGCCTCTCATTTATTTCAGTCTCAGACGTCGCCTCGCCAGATAAAGTGTTCTTGGCGACGGTAATCTCATGCATCTTAATTTCGTCCTCGTTCTTCTTCTGCTCCTTGTCGAGTTCGGTGAACTGACTTTGGATTTCTTTCAAATTACATACGTGCTGCTTGATTGCAGCCACATCACTCGATTCTAAACTTACATTCAAATTATTCAATGTAATATCGTATGTATCTTTCAGATCGTTCAACTTCTTTGACATGCATTCGTTCGAAGCTTGGAAGATCAAGACTCGTTCGAGAAGTGCTGTATTTTCTGTTATGGTTGAAGACAGTTTGACGGTCAAATTCCTGTTTTTCGATTTCAAATCGTAAATCTCATTTTTAAGCGAAGATAACTCTTCCTGACATATGATAGGCCCACCTAATAAAACAATATTTTTAACAATACGCAAACTCCATTTAATGTGTTACCTTGTCCAACAATTTCCAGCCTCAATTGTTGCACTAATTTGTTTAATCTATTAATTTCTGCTGCTTTAGGGTCTTCATTAACAACAGGCTTATTCTTAATTTTTCGAGCCCTGTCGGCATATCGTAATGTGGAAACAGTTTCCTCCACGTTGTAATCGGCAGGACTAACGCATGCTATCATCAATGTAATACTGTTTCCGCCCAATGAATCTGTACGAAAAATATATAATTACGTTTACTATTTAAACAAATTTGTTTAATATTTTAATACCTTTAAGAAGCCTAGTTAAATTACTATCTCGATAACTGATGTAAGAAGGTTGTCCTTTATCATCTCCTAAAGCCGATATCACGTTTCCTAAAGCTAGAAGACCTCTATTGATGTTAATTCCCTCTTTCAAAGTTTGCCCAGTGGCTCCAGTTTTCTTAGATCTTTCTGAGCCAGCCAGATCAACCAAATGAAATTTAGCCGTTTTGGATTCACTAAAATACAAATAATAATTTATTTGAATTATGTTCTAATCTGAATTGAAATTTACCTAGAGCCTTTCTTCTGCATTGCAAGTGTTATAGTGAAAATTGCGTGACTCCTTGAACTTTGGGCATTCATGTTAGTGGAAGCTGTGGCTCTACCTTGTGATCCTCTTAGCAGACAGTCCAAAGTTTCTGACATGTTATTAACCACTTGTTCAGTTAATCCAGGTATGAATATACCTTTGTTTATATCTTCACGCATTTCTACAACACACTGGTCCCTTGGTTTAAGAGACAGTAAATCATATAATATCTCTTGGTAAAGTTCCATGAAGGATACTGTTATTGTGAAATCATATCCAAAATTATCTTTTACATAGTCAAAAATATCATTAACTGCTCTTGGAATTACACCCATCTCACCCTCACCCTTATAGGCAGTGCCCATGGAATGAGTTTTACCTAAAATATTGATAATAATTTGAGTCTTCCAAAACTAAATCTCAAATATACACACCTGAGCCAGTTTGTCCATATGCTAAAATTGTGACATTATATCCTTTGAATAAGTTCTTAATCAGTGGTTGCACACAGATGTTGTAGAATATTTCTTGGTTTGTCTCACTACCAAAGACATAATTATAAGAGAAGGCCTTTTCAGAATCTAGAATCCGCACTTGGTTTAAACTTGTTATTACATCCAATGCAGACTTGCAGCCTTTAGATATTTCACTTGGCACCAAAGGCCTTATCCTGAGAGCCACCTGAACTGTAGAAGTATCTGCCATCTAAAAAACAACTGAAAAAATAAAAATGAAAACACAACACTATCAACTCACTTCCAGAATAGAGACTTTAAATATATATCTATATATAATAAAAACAAATTAAAAGAGTAAATGTAAAACTATAAATGTTTAAAGTTAAAACTTTTCAATCCTCTGGGCACATACATTAACAACAAAAAACAAAATCGTAGAAAATGATTGAAATGAATGCGTCAAACTGCATGCAATCCAATGCAGGGGACCGTCAGTTGCTGGTTAATTAATTGCTCGCTAGGTG